TTCACGCACGCTTCAGAAATTTGAATAAATTGGAGTTAATTTACCCAAAACGTAAAACGGATATGACGTACGCCGGGCAAGCTTTTCTTCGTTTATTCGTAGACCCCTCACGAAACGTGTTTCTGCTGGGGTCTACACCGTAGGCTACATTGCAATATATTCATTTCTGTTTCATAATTTTGGATATTGTCATACATCATAGCAGTGCACACTTTCCCTTTGGCTTTACCACCCAAATTACGACCATGATCTTTGTGATTTATTGTGAAGCACGTAGCAGAGAAGTCCCAACTTAGTGCCTTCTCGTTGTTGAACAGAACAACATTATAAAAGCTGCTCGCTTGATATCTTAGCTGCCCCACAATAATCCTCATTCAGAGACAATTCAAAGTTTATTAAAGGCCGTTAAATCGTCTCGTAAAATCGGCCGCGTACATATAAATACTCGATATCGTAAAATAATTCTCCCAACTATGAAAAACCTTCATATACGGGAATATGAAGGACTGCTTTGCATGAATTTCGCAATTTTCAAGGACTGATATCCCTGCCGCGAATAAGTCCGAATCAGTCCAAAAAAATGAACCAATAGAAATTGTCAATAATTTCAAATTGACCAATCAAAATGAAGGAAATGGACTTATAAAAACTCCCTTAAAGTGCAAATCAGTCGGACCACCCCATAAAAACTCCCTTAAAGTGCAAATCAGTCGGACCACCCCATAAAAACTCCCTTAAGTTGCAATTCAGTCCGACCACCCCACAATATTTTCAAATTGACCAATCAAAGGAATGAAATGGCTTGAAAAAGACTCCCTTAAAGTGCAAATCAGTCCGGCCACCCCACAGATCAGTCGAGATAAGTCCAAATGACCTCTCGACCAATCAAATGAGCATAACGACCACCCGATTCTGCGAGATTCTTGCGTTTTACCGCTGCTCTAGATAAAGCATATATTTATTCAAAACTGAGCTCGTAAAGACGTATACTGGACTATGATATGAATTTCATATTATATTCGGGAATTAATTATTCAAATTTCGAAATAATAAATTAATTATTTCTTTGCAAAAATACGTCAGTCACGCGACTGATTGGACTTACCCTAGATCCGCCCCTGGCCTTCAGAACTGTGTTATACACAGAATTTGGTTAAAAATTCTTGCGTAAGGTTAAGACTTGACTTCTTACCTGATATAAACAAGAGTTTAAACATCTTGGCCCAAACTCGCCTTTATTTTAGCATTTGATTTTTGGATAAGTGCTTGGCGGTATAAAATGTTGGGGCGTTGTGAAAACCCGGAATACCAGAATATCACGGAATATAGCGGAATATCACGGAATATAGCGGAATATCACGGAATATGCTGGAATATGGCGGAATATCAAGGAATATCACGACATTTTCCCGGAATATACCGGAACATCGATCACAATATTTTCCGATGGTAGCCATGCGACTGTTTATAAACATGGACGTATGACAACATATTTTATTACAAAAGTGATGGATCTTTCCCACTTGACGGTATGTAACAAACAATAAGTCTATAGACCAATTGCGAAACTTAGTGGCCGCGCCTTCATACTGCACGAGAACGAGGCTTATTATGCAAAAACAAAACAATTTCTATATTTTTATATAGCGAAAAGTGAATTTTAGGGTTTTTAAAGTGTTTTTTCTTGAATCTCTTTGATCTTTTCTTAATATTTCGTGCTAGGTTATATAAATATTTGTTAAATTTATCTAAACATCGATTTCCCACTATATTTTTACTCGCTTTGAAAAGATATTTCGTTGTTGTTTTAGCATGCGATAGAACAAACATATGGAAAAGATCAATCTAGACTTTAAAATCTGATCAAGATGCAAATAAAATAGCCAGTATAACTTAACAAACTAAAATATAATTCTTTCTACCCAGATTTTTTTAGACTTCGTGCGAGAAAAAAACGATTTTGTCAAAGGAAAATAACATAAAATTTCTACAAATTTTGCCCGACATTTACTTTCATATTTTTAAAGTTAAAATCGAAAACTTGCTATTATATTACAACTGAAACAAAATTAATCAATCTTACAACTTATTCTTTGAAATGTATTAATAAAACAGACGGAAAATACCTGATTCTTTCTCTGATATAATCGGCTTCTTTTATCGGACGGCCAAAAACAGCAAAACTTTGCCTCGCACGCCGCGAAAAACAATGACATTTGAAGTAAGACTAAATCTATGAACAAGTTTAATAAAGATTTACATAGTCAAAACAAAAATATTGAAAAAAAATGAAGAGATTACCATAAAAACGCGTCTCAAACACTGAAATTCATTTTTCCCCATATAAAAATATAGCAGAATGATTTGTTTTTGCATAATAAGCCTCGTTCTCGTGCAGTATGAAGGCGCGGTCACTAAGTTTCGCAATTGGTCTATACCGGAAGTTTTTTATGTTGTCTATATTATTATTACGAGTGTTCACCAAAATTGTGAATCAATATGATTAACTCCTCCTGAGTTACAGCGTTGAGATACGTCTGCAGCATTATTTAACAAAATTTAGTTAAAAATTATTGGTTAAGGTTTAATAAGACGGGACTTCTTACATGATATAAACAACTGGCTCAAAGTTGCCTTAATTTTAGCTTTTGATTTTTGGATAAACGCTTGGTGGTATAAAATGGTCAATTTTAAAATTAACTAAATTTTGTGTAAATAACACAGTTCTGAAGGCGTTCGAAAATAATGCTGACGTCAGCACGTTTGTTTTTCAAGACGCTGCAACTCAGGAGGAATTAATCATATTGATTCAAAATTTTTGGTGAACACTCGTAATAATGATATAAACAACATAAAAAGCTTCCAGTATAGAGTTATTGTTTGTTACTTACCGTCAAAATGGGAAAGATCCATCACTTTTGTAATAAAATATGTTGTCATACGTCCATGTTTATAAACAGTCGCATGGGTACCATCGGAAAATATTGCGATGTTCCGGTATATTCCGGGAAAATGTCGTGATATTCCGTGATATTCCGCCATATTCCGTGATATTTCGGCATTCCGGGTTTTCACAACGCCCTAAAATGTTGACCATTTTTAATATACCACCAAGCATTTATCCAAAAATCAAATGCTAAAATAAAGGCAAGTTTGAGCCAAGATATTTAAATTCTTGTTTATATCAGGTAAGAAGTCAAATCTTAACCTTAACCAAGAATTTTTAACTAAATTTTGTGTATAACCATGGATTGTAAAATTACTGGACGGGTTGTTGTTAAATGGATTGTTATTTTACAATCCATGGTATAACACAGTTCTGAAGTCTCTGAAGGCGTTCGAAAATAATGCTGACGTCAGCACTTTTATTTTTCAAGACGCTGTAACTCAGGAGGAATTAATTATATTAATTCAAAATTTTTGGTGACCCCTCGTAATAATGATATAAACAACATATAAGACTTCCAGTATTGAGTTATCTTGTTTTACTGATGTCTGTAATTCGATCATACTTTTTCTGTTTTCTTGCAATAGACAATGATATAATGCGAAAAATGTGCACCTTATTTACGAGTAAAGGTACAGACATCGACGAAAATATTGCTAACCAAAATCATGCTACCCGTACACGTACACCAAAACCGGGGTATCTTAACCTCTCTATTGTTTATTACTTACCGTCAAAAGGGGGAAAGATCCATCACTTTTGTAATAAAATATGTTGTCAGACGCCCATGTTTATAAACAGTCGCATGGCTACCATCAGAAAATATCGTGGTGTTCCGGGTATATTTCGGGAAAATGTCGTGATATTCCGTGATATTCCGCCATATTCCGTGATATTCCGCCATATTCCGTGATATTCCGGCATTCTGGGTTTTCACAACGCCCCTTTTATAATAAAATATCTTGTCAGACGTCCATGTTTATAAACAGACGCATGGCTACCATCAGAAAATATTGTAATGTTCAGGTATATTCCGGGAAAATGTCGTGATATTCCGCAATAAGCCGGCATAATCCGTGATATTCCGTGATATTCCGGCATTCCGAGTTTTCACAACGCCCCTTTAAAAATATTGATATAGGGCTGGTTGTACGAAAGGTGGATAAATCGCTATCCGGTGAATTATAAGTCGCGCTATCCAGCGGAGTGAAAATCGCGTTGGATAGTGTTATCCAACAGATAAAAAATGCACTATTCGTTGGATAAATTTATCCGATGTTCGGAGGTAGTTTAAACCACTATCCGGATAAGTTTGAAAACAATGTGTATTTCAAATGAAAGAGATTACCATTGTTATAGAAATGGACAAAAACGTTGAAAAATCCTTTTCTTGACACTAAATAAACATGGAAAACTTGCTTATGACTCAGGGCCTTTTAAGCATTCGTCCTTGGGGGATAGGAACCATACTTTTCTGAGTCTGGGCAGATGACAGATGATTGTTTGTGACAAAACGTTGGTGTGGTGTCGTATATACAGTATAATAGTATAGGGGGGTCTGGGAGCATTCTCCTCCAGAAAATATTTGTATTTTTCCACCCCTATAAGATTGCATTCGAGCATTTCCTTCGTTTTTTAAAACAGATTTTTGTATATACAGCGTTACATTATGCTGCAACCTCGTTCCCAGGGCTTTCGTATGAGGACGAGGGGAGAGACGAGAAAGCCCTGGTCTGGGCCGGTCACGTTGACTACCCAAAAAATGTCAAAACTCCAAATATAAAGATGAACAAAAAACGTTTATTGCAAGTGGATAGTTCAAAGGTTAGTGCATGGAATCCACAAGTTATACGAAGATTAGAAGACACTAAAACAAAAGTTTACAAATGCCTAGCAACAGCTGATGTAGAGATAAGAAATTTGAGGAAAATACGGTTTTCTCTGGTTAAAATTATGGTTATCCGACAGATAGCTATTCAGCTATTGCTGTCTGCAATGTGTTTCGTACAACGCACTTTTATCCGGCGGATAACTGCCCATTGGATAGGAGATTTATGGCGCGTTAGACATACAGTAGGAATTATCCACTGGATAAATTATCCATGCATGCACTTTTCATACAACCGGCCCCAGTTCATTTGCCAACTTCCAACAGTCCTCTAATCAACACCTTAAGAATCTGAGAAGTTCCTTAAAAATATCATAGCGTCCTGTTTTAAATTACCAATAAGAATTGCTTTCCAAATACTATAATCAATACTGCAATAGGATGAAAGAGAAACAACAAACAAATTAACAATGGTATTGTTCACGAATGGTCAACTGTCAGTTATTTCAATGTCTGCATTCGACAGGATTGTTTTCTTGTTGTTCTACTTGAGGTGAAGGCCATTCTGACTAAAAAGTTATTTGTGTTTCTGGAACGGATGGAAATGTATACAGGATCTAGATCGTCCGTATCCAACATGACAGTACATGCACTTATGTCTTATTGTTTTCATTTTCGTTACTCTTTATCCAGTAGAGTACAGTCATTTAACCATGCAGTCCTTTGATTGATGAGGAATGTATTTGCGAATAATACAGCTGTATTTGTGACTAAACTGTATTTACGACTGTACTTCCATTAATATAATAACGGTAATTTTAGGCTGGGTGATTGTTGAAGAACTATGCGCAGCGAAATGCTCCCAGTATTTTATTAGAAGAACATATGTACGGAACTGTTACATAGCTATACGCGTATAGTCTGAGGTATCACTGAATGTACGAATTTGTGTTTCTAAAATCTTCGTAAGATATTTGCAATCACATAGGCCACGAATTTTTGAGGAGCCTGTGTTCCACAAGTGATCAAATGAGATGAGATGAGACGTTGTCGTTGCCAGATGGCGAAATACATATAAGACCAGAAATAATCAAACGAATTCACTGTTCAGTACGGTAGGATAACATTCTGCTCCAATTGATTCACACGCAAAAATGTCCCAAGAAAGTCGATTGTATGATGGTTCATATCGTCAAAGTTCTGAATTATTGAATGTGAGGATATTGTTTGATGTAACATTTTTCAAGGAACGACTCGGGGAATTAGTGGAGAAGTCAAGAATGCGGAGCTTTTTAGGTTGCGGAAGAAGTAATTTGTGCCTCAAACAGATCCTTTGCAAATGTCTTCAGAGAAAGCTTCTCCCAGTGAACATTTAGTTTTTTGTCATATATAATTGTTGACGTTCGAGGTCTAGAGAAATACGGACTGGAACAGAAGTGTCTTCATCTCTTAATTTCATTCACGTTGTTCATGTTTGTCGGTTTTATATCGTTTAAATCTTGTTTCGGTGTTTCTTTATTTTATTGGTATATATGTCTAACGTCGTACATCAATCAATGCTGACATTTAATTCAATGCGTGAAGTTCTTTCGACTTGTAAAATCTATTATGTTGATGACCCTTTTGAAGACAATTATCATCAACAGTTTTGGTGAGGAATTTCTTTACGTTTTCTTGTGAGATCACCTTTTCACTGGTTGGGTAATATAGTGTAGATAATAAAGGAATCTTTAAATCGCCTGCTGTGTTTGCTTACAATGCAAACCGTGCATTAAAGTTATGTTGTGCTTTGTCACGCTATTTACACATCCTGTCCAAACTCACATACAACAGCTTTCTAATGCCTCTGTGACTGGCAAATGTTCTGGTATGATTTCCAACACTGAAATAAATATCTCTGCGGCGTTTTCTTTGTTTCCAACTACTTTGTGTGCATACCCTACCACAGACAGAGCCAGGGAATATATTGGAGTGGACTGAAAACGTGCAACATAATTCTCCAATTGAAGCGCAATATCTTGGGCTTTTTCTACTTCATTCAAATTCATATACGTTAAAATTAACTCGTAGAAAGCACGGACTTTTATTGGGATGTTAATTTTGCCACTAACTTCAACTTCACGGCGAAGGTGAACGTCTAACAGCGGCTTGTCTTCGTCTGCAAACGAAATAAATGTGTCATCCGATCTTTTAATAACATTTTCAAAATGTTCGACGGCTTCATTGTAACGCTCCAATTTGGACAAAAGTGAAGCAAACGAGCATTCTACAAATGTTGTCAATTCGCCAGTCGTATGAAGCAGCTTCTGGAACAAACTAAGAGCAGGGTTCATCTGGCTTTTGCATGAATCTTGGTTATTTATTTCAACCGTTAACGCCTTTGTCTGGTAAAGTTCAGCCAAGGTTGCCACAAGGTTTTGATCACAGGTAAAATCTTCATCGAGGTCTAGGCATCGTTCAAAACACTTAATTGCACCATCAACATTCCCTCTTGCGCACAGCATTCTTCCCAAGGAACGGAAAACGTAATATTGATTTGCAAAAGAATACCCTTCAAGAGATTCACATTGGTTATGAAATGGCTGGTCTAAAAATCCCTCTTTAGTTTGAAGCATTGCAAGGAATGGTACAAAGTACAAATGCGATTCGTTTCCTCTATTCGTTTCCACTAAATCATTTCCAGCCAAGCGGAGGCATGCAATTTTCATTTCAACCAAGTCAGGTGATTCCACATCCTTCGGGAAGTATTTTAGTGCCAATGTGTATTCGTTAAGAATATAATATAATTTAGCAAGATTTGTTCGTGATAACGGAAGGTCACAATTTTGAAGTTGCTTTCGCTCTTCATCACTCGCAAGAGACAATAACTCGCGATGACAGGCTTCGGTAAGGTATGGCACACATGGACGACGTTGCCCGATCATTGCTTTATGAACATCTACTGAGTTAGCAGTCAAATTTTCGCACGCAGCAACCGCTTCATCTTTCTTTCCGATTGCAACAAGAATTGGCACCATTGAGCTGTACAATATGTCTCCAACAGTTGCTAATAGTTCGCCGTCAACTTCAACGCTTTTCTGTACGCCTGGACCATAAAATGCACGTACAAAATAGTTACAAAACACAAACCTATTCCACACAAGTTTGCCTAAATTATTGATATCCCGTAGCACGATATCAGCCTCAGCGAAACGCCTTTGTTCACATAAAAAGTTAGCGTAGCTTAGATCCTTTCGAAGCGCAAAGTCCACTGTTGAACCGCGATCGGTAAGGTAATACTTTTCTGCAAGACTTATTTCATTACTACAATCACAGGCCGAGTTCGTTGAATTTATTTGGTGACTTTGGGCAAGGTACAATAGCATTCTGCTGCGATTATTCATTCGATCACTTACATTGCTACCCCATAGCAAATCGCTTATTCCTAAGCCAGTTTCCGCCACAACAATTGCTTCTTCTGTTCGCCCGAGGTTCAGGTAGAGATTTGCCAAAGACTTCAAAAACGCGTAGAAATTGTACAAATCATTGAAATGCTTTACAGATGTTTCTTTACACATATCAACAGCCTGTTGAAAAGGAGAGCGACTTTCGTGAGTGGCGTTAGACTTGGTAATCGTGACTGCGTGTATCAAAGGTAGAAATTCTTCGTAAAATGACAACGTATCAGGAAGGGCGGCTGAGAAAAACGCCAAGAGAGATTTATTCAGCCAAGTAACAGATACTTCTGTTTCATCACACATAACTAACACTCGACCAATCCATGAAAACAGGCGACGAGATATTTTTAGAAATTCAGGCGTGCCTCCAGCCATATAATTTTCAGAAAAGGATTCGAAGACAACGGCGATATTTATCAAAAATTCCTTCATCTCTTCCACAATTCTTGTTGCTTCTTCTTCTTTTTGTAACTTTAGGAAAACGGCCGCTAACAACAGTTGGATTTCACATTTCAAGGCAAAAAATTCTCCATGTTCCGAGTTTCCAAGTTCTTCCATCAACTCACTTCCTTCCATTTTCCGATCAATTTTGTGGCTCAATGCAAGAGCTTGTTGACACAAAGAGCAAGCTTGGCCAAGCTTATCATCTTTATTTTCTGCACTTTCTGACAAAATAGCCACACATTTTGCTGCAAGGTAAAAGAACTCCACTGTTTGAAAATGTATCGTTTCTCCAAGTTCATGATCAGACACCAGTTTTATCTCCTCTTGACAGATTCTCCATGCTGTTACTACATTCTGGCAGAGCATCTCACTCTTTATTAAACCAATCAATACTTTCAAATATTGATACAGGTAATCGCGGTTTTCTAATGCCTCATTGGAAAATAAGCGAGCGGCTTCGGTCAAATTAATTACAGCGGTTCGGCAGTCACCCATGGACAAATAACATTCCCCGCGTAATTTAAGAATTTGGGCTTTTCTGCTCCAGTTAGATGGCAGCTGTGAAGCAAGATCTAAATATCTAACGGCAATATCGGCTTTATTGTCTCCTTTTTCTTTAATTGCATCGTTGATTAACTTTTCACCACTATCGAAGGGGCAGTTTTCGTGAACGGATAACAATTGGGATTGGAAAGAAGTACTTATTCTTGCAACCTGTTGGAGATTGCCTATCTTCTTGTTATACTCGAGTGCATCTGTTAGAGTTGCCAGCGAAGGTAGTTTTGACTCAATTAAATCCAGTTTTCGACACAAATAATCAGTTGTGGATTTTATCGAATCTGGACTGACCAAAGCATCAGGTAACGATTCTTGGTTAACAGGGATACAAATTTGAGACAGAGTTTGCGCCAAAACGTCCACAGTCTTAGAATCAGAATCGTCACCTTCTCCTGGCTTCACACCATCGGAACTTTGGACCGATGTACGAATGAATGACTTTAAATTTTCCCGACCACTGCTACAATTTTTCGAAGTTTTTGGATCCTCATCCAAGGTACTTTGTAGCCGTTCCTTTTGACGTTCCAGATCGGGAGTACGCCAGCTGTAAATTCCCTGTTGAAGGTTTTTATGATTCGTCGGCAGAGAACTAAGTTCTTCTACGGAATCTAAAGATGCCTTTTCTGTTGCAATCGCCTGAGTGATTCCGCATCGTTCTTTACCACACTCTTCAAAACCACCACATTGACGTGGATTAATTGCTTGTTTAAAGAGGCCTTCATCTCCTGTCTTAACGTTATTATCAGCAATAAATACCTCTATAATCGATGTAAGAAGTTCTTTCTTGTGCGATGGTAATATATTTTGCGTCATTACTAAGTTCATTAAGATTTTTTTCATAATTTCGCAAGTTGTTTTGCACAATAGTTTTTCTTTTTTAACACAAATTTCACTAAATATCTGACTTGCCATCTCGTTCAAAGTCTCTGCTTTTTCTAGATCACCCAGAGCGTAGAATAATACACCTAGAGACGTAAAACATCTTGCAGCAGCTGCTTTGGCCGCACTATTTGTTGGAGGCGTGTCCTTCTGAGCAAATAAAAGGAATTCATATGCACGTTGAATAGTATCAATATCACCGGGATTTTCCAAAAAACAAAGGGACAGGCTAGCCAAATTGTGGGAGATATGTTTATGAACTGGGTTTGGTAAATGCAGTTCCATCTCCATTCTTAACAGAAGCTCTCTATACTTCGTAGCGGCTTGCTTATCTCCTGCCATCCAGTACGTGTCCGAAATCTGTCCAAGTACTGTGCTTATCATCTCATTTGGTTTGTTTGCCCCGTACACGATTTCGCAAACTTGTAAAGCTTCTAGCAAAAGTTCTATCTTCTCATCTAAGTCCACTGATGTAAATTTTGAAGCCAATGATAAAAAGAGCATAACAGTTGTTGAGTCAACTTGTCCGGTCGCTACATGTTGCCGTAAGACGTCGGCAACCCGATCATAATGACTTCGCTGAGCTTCCAAACGTTGTTCTAAAGGTATCCCAATTTCATGGTCGACTGAATCAACAGCAGAAGTGTTGTTTGCCATCTCTCCAAGCTTGACCTCCAACTGAAATTGCATAAATGGGAGTTTCTTCGCAATATCCGATTCCTTGCACGTTCGTATGGCTTCATCAAAACACTGTCGAGCACGATTGATATCACAAAGATGACGGTATAATTCTCCAATCTCCTGCAGAAAAGAACATTTTTTCTTACTCGCAGTCAGTTTTTTTGCTAAATTGAAAGCTTGATCCAAAAATATTCTTGCTTCAGACACCCTGCTATTCACCATAATGGTTTTGGAAATACCAGTAAGACACTCTAAGATATAAAAAATATGTTTGTCATTCTGCATCTCAACCAGAACGTCTAGTGCCTGTTTGTAATAATTCTCAGCATCTGACGCCAGACCTTGCTCTTCACAAAGCTTACCAAGGTTCATCATACAGAAGGCTCTTTGTTCCATATGAGACTTGCACATGAGTTTTTGAACTTCTTCCTTTAATATTCCAATTCCTTCGTTTGTTTTCCTAATTTTACCCAAGGTCATAGCGATCAAACAAGTCATTGTTACTCTGGCTTGTACTCCAACAATATTTCTCAGACAGGTTTTCCCATCCAAAGCAGACTTCCAAGCTTGATCAGAGTTGTGTTTGTCATGCCATGTAGTGGCTAATTGGCAGTATATGACGCAATCTAAAATTAATTCTGTATCATTTCTGATGCCCGTGGTTACTTTTAAACCGTTCTCGAGGTACCGCACAGTTTTCTCCACAGAATATCCCATTGGGACGCCCAACAACGCCAGCTGCAAATAAGTATGCTTAACCATTAATCTAGCGGTAGGTCCACCAAATGCGTCATACAGTTGCAACAACAATTCAAAGTAAAATTGGCTTTCCATATACATAAACAAGTACATAGAGGTCATCCCAAGAAAATTTAACGATGTCATCATATTTACATTAGGTTTGGTTCCGTATAGGAGGTATTCCATACTCAGTGCTCTCTGAAAACAACGATAAGCTTTGTCAAACTTTCCCTGAATGAATAAAAACTCACCAAGCTTATTTAACCACACGATGCTTTTAGTGTTTATGCCCTCTTCGTCAATCAAAGAAGTCAGTTCAGAAGTGACCACGTCAATATTGTGTTGCTGAATCAGACTCTCGTGAAAATGTTTTGTGTAAAAATTCATAAACGCAAATTTCATCATGAGCAGCTCTTTTCCAGCACTGCGTTTGCTTTTCTCTGCCGCGAGACATTGGGCCAGAATCTTTTCCGCCAATACAAAATATTTGTGACAATCATAATACGAGGAAGCAAAAAGCAACACTTCTAGCAATTGCCGACATTCCTCCATATCCAAGAGATTGATAAATGGTGTGGTTGCCACCATTGTTTGATTGCTATTGTGATGCGACTGAGAGAAACTTTGGTTTATTTTCCACAATAGGGTATCTAGATTTTCTTGAATCTTTTCCGTCACTTCTGTGTCCTTTGTAATAAAAAGTGAAATTCTTATTCGACGGATTTCAATACTCAACTTCTCTGAATCCCGCTGAAGAGCACGTTGGTAGCATTTAAGAGCTTCGGCATAGTTCAACAAGCGACAGTATACATGACCCATCGTGACGTCAGAATCGTCAAAGAATGAACGGTTTACAAGGCACGGCCGTACGCATCCTGCTGCCTTAAACTGTTGTAGCTCTTCATACAAAGGAATAGCAATGAAGAAAAAGTGAAACAGCTGTTCATCATTTGGCATGTGGTAAACAGAAGTCAATTTCTTTGTTTCTTCGTTTGAGCTTGCCATGAGTTTTTCTCCCTGTTTTCCAGCTTTAATATACGTACTTATTCTTAGTTTGATTGCAATGGCCGATGCACTTGCAAAATTATCTCTTGCTTCTGACGAAATTATTGCTCTCTTGTACAGTACATCAAGTATGGCAAAAACTCCACTTGCATCAATTTCGTAACATTTTGCTAGTGCAGCAAATACACGATCTGGTAAACGATAAATTTCTTTTTTGACATCATAAAATTTTCCATCATCCAAGTCGTTATTACCCGTCATCACATCTCCATAACGAGACAAATCTTCGCGAAGAGTGCTCAGCCCTCGGCACGATCCTCGGCTAGGCCAAGAACCACACGAAGCATCATGTTCACACGTTTCTAAATCACAAGGACTAGACAAGCTTTTAGCAATTTCCTCTCGATAAGCATCAACCAGTACATGTTTATCTGATTGAAGAGGGGAAATTGTCAACAAGGTGTCTCCTAAGGTCCAATTTCTCACATACCAATCGTTGTTCTGGAAATCTGCCATTTTCTCAGGTGTATGAATCAGATCAAATTCTTTCATATTTCCTAAAGGCGTCTTGCACGCCTGTGGAAGAAACCCATCAAAAGAAACTCCTCTTGCTGTTATGTCATCAAAAAACCATCCTCCATTAATTGATTGGATATTCATACTCGGTAAAATAGTTTCTCCAAGGTTGATAACCTGAAATGAAATAATTAGTTTGCTGAGATATTGTAAACCTGAAATGAGTTGATAACCTAAAAATGAAGTGAAATTTGCCCCCTGTTTCTTTTTCGAATTAAATATAATTATTTATAGTTTGTTCTCTCCTTCGCCTCTATCCATATAATTTTTCCTCTGTTCCCACTCGTCACTTTACCCATTTTCTATTTGCTAAATATCTTCCTTATCTCATTTTTTCATTCTGTAATTTTACACATAATTCCCCTCAGTTTCCATCTCCTCGTATGTTCATTACAGTAGATTTCAAGTATTTTCGCGACGTGTTGAAAAATCCGTTAAGGATTGGGAATTAAATTTAAATGGGAAGAATGGAAATGCGTTGCGAATTTCCAAACGACTTAGAAACGAAGTTTGCAATAGGGGCAAGGGCAATTAGGAAATAGCAAATATTATAAGGACGATGGCTAATATTTAACCACTAGTTGTCAAAGTGGAGGCGAATGGTAGTAGATATATCCCTAGACACGGAGTATCGAAGGAAATATGTAATACTAGCTAGGGTCATTAGACTTTACTGATATACCAATAAAACTTGCTATGAAAACCCTGCTGAAGGGGTCAAATCACAAGCAGCATCTAATACAACATAGGTTAAACTGGTACTGCCACGATGTAATAAATTAATTACGAATAGTATGAAACATACTGTACAAATTAAAATTAGTCAGTACGGCGAATCTAACTTTAGCGAAATTGAGATCCAATGGCACCGTAAAGTCAAAGAAAATCTTAGGAAAGACATTTACGATTTCTGTGAAATGATATCAAACTTGGAAAAGTTCAGATACTCTGCTAGTACTGTTCGTTTTGCACAAGCGAGTATAAACAGATTTCAGGGTATTAATGAAAGAGTAAGGCTACTAAAATTTATACGACTATGAAGACTTGGTTACCTGCAAGTGAACCAAGTTTGTTAAATTTCGAAAGAATACTTTACATTCTTCCTCTTCTGAACTTGTGAGGATAGCCCATTCAAAATCGGAGTACGGCGTCATTTCATTTCTTGCTAAAGACCCAAGTACAATGACTTCATAATCACAAGGTGGTGTTCCAAGTAACTCCAAACATTCGTTAATGATTCCTGCCAAGAACTGCTTCATCCTAATCGAAATTGTATCAGATAACCTCTTTACCTGCTCCGTTTGATCTTTCATCATTTGCCGCACACCTTGGTTCTCAGACGATTTAGTACGAGACTCCATACACTCCAACGACTTTTCTACGTCATCTCTTAATTTTTTCAGCTCATTTCGTTTAAGTTCTGAATCAAATCTACAATGAAGAGAATTTCCTCCAACCATTAAAACCATGTTGTCCTGGATATCAAATAGCCGACGAGAGACAATTGTCGATAGTGTTTTCGACAGTTTGGCTTCCACGTGCTCTGTTTTTAAATAATTGCGTACAAAATTACACAATGCTGCGGCATGAAGCAGAAATCGTTGTCTCTCCACCAGCTCCAATTTCTTCTCTTCTGCTTTTCTCTGTAGGACTTCGGCTAAATAGAGATATGGTTCGGGATTCCGCTGACAGGAGTTGTCCAACATAACTGTTCGCATGGCCTTAGTCAAGGTCTTCTCCGCAATCTCTAATTCTCCTTTTTCCAAAGCCAGTTTTGCAATTTCAATCAACTCGGATGGGCCCAACTGTAAAAAACAAATATATTTTCATTGTTTAAGCGTTTGGTTACCAACCATCTTTGGGTCAATACAAACACTCCACCTATATGTGGCTTCTTTCTTACAGACAACTTATCACATATTAGGCTTGAACATAAAAAAAACAAATGTCACAAAATGTGTCGTATAGAAGATTAGCTCGTGCGAACTGGGTTTAAAGGGACATAGCAATAAAAATTTAGTTGGTCTCATTTGAAAGAACTGAAAAAGAGATACATAAACACCAAGGGCAGTATCAAATTTTATTTAGGCCTAAATTGTGGTGGATATTTCACGTCATGAACAGCTCAGTTAATATAGGCTTATTTCTGAATAACGGTAAAAATCCACAGACAATAGCACTAAGCCTCGACTTCGTGTTGCTGTTCCTGACAACTACAGTGTAATTTGGAAATAGTCTACAAAGCGATAGAGGGCAAGTAAGCCTGCAGCAAAATGTCAATTAGTTGGCATTCTCGGTTTTGGACAACTAGGAAATCGAACATCGGTTTTGCGCACTTACACTAAGTGATATACGCAAACGGCAAGAGAAACAATCAACAATTATTTGACATTTTAATATTTCATAACACTTGTATGCCCACGTATACGCCTGGGAATGTATAAATCGGTTTAAAATTCCTTACGAAATAACTAATGGAATAAGATAAAAGCATTTAGTTTTATGAAAGATTGTATACAGTATGGTCTGTATGGATACATTGAGGTAATTAGAACTGATTTTTTTTTTTAGATAGATTAAAGTTTGTTGTGCGTATACGTAGGTATGAAAAACGCTTAACTGGAATACAGCCTTTATATTCACGGCAACTTCTGCTTTTTATTTTAATTTTTAAGGGATTTCTGTTCATTATCGCAGTGAAAGCCAAAAAGATGATAGACAAGTTGAAATCACAGGTCGTGGAATATCTTCGCCAACAGAATTTCAAATTGCAGTGACAGAATCTCAATTTTTTATCTAGGTTCCATATTATTCGTTAACTTGTTTACTTAGGAGTAATTGGAAAATGTTAATCTAATATAATGAAGGTTGATAGACACTATGGTTGATATGAGTAAAAGAAACCGACACAATCATGAAATATGAATCATGTAGAAAACCTCGATACTCATTTTATGCAGTTATACTTCTTGGCATTTTTGACTAAAATTACCACATTGGATCTGGTTTAGGCATGGTGACGTCACAAGCAAGGTTAGCCTTACAAACTATTTTGAGTAATTGCATAAGAAATGATTATTTAAAACATTCATTCACTTCCAAATTTACAACAGCTGTAAAGCTATAGTTTTACCTCATATTACTGACATGATCATTGGCAGTTGAGATAAAAACTTTGTGACATTATAACATGTATGTTACTAATTGCCGTGTTTTATCAGATATAAAACGTTTCGTATCTACTCGTATTTTAGATAGTACATAATCTCCTAACCTTATATATTGATGTACACTTCTTTTGTCACGAGTGAATTTTATAAAAATCTTTGCACCAAATCAACTAGATTGAAGCGTTTATTTTCTTCAAACGATCTGTTTTCACCTTTACTAGACATCTAGACCTGTGATCGTTTATTTTAAACGCATACTGGACATATTCGCATCTATTTTATATTCTCGTATATAATATGGTACTGTACGTCAATTAACCTTCGCGCTGAAGAAACACTCTACTGTATGTATTAGTTGGATGTGGCAAACAAATTGGTCCAAAAAGAGAGGTGAATTTTGTTGTAATAAGCCAATCAGAAACCTTTATAACACAAATAAGGCAGACCCGCACGAAGATGAAGCAAACAAATCGAACCAACGAAAGAGGAGAATTTTTTTTGCAAAGAGTCAATCAGAAACCGCATATATGACGCAAATAAATCAGATCCCCACGAAGATTAAGCAAAATCAATCACGACCAATCAAATGCCATGTAAGTAATAGATTCACGCAAATATCCGCTAGTTGACCGCTACATGATACTTGATGACTGGACTATTGATGAATATTAATGACCTCCGCTGACGCTGCATGAAGGATAGCAACTGGAGTATTGGACAATTTCATGAATATTAATTATCTGCGCGATATTTACCTTAGTCGCGTGACTTATTTGACAACCCCCTCTAATAACGTATGGAGTGCTCCTCCTTATAAAAATTAAATAATGTGTGAAATAATTTGATATAAATCCCAGAGGGGTTAACATTCTAGGTGGAAGTCAATAAAGCGTGTCTTCAAGGGATTGACATTTTTATAAAAAATGCACTACGCCGAATACTAAAGACAATGTCAAGGATTCGGTTTATTATTCTGGATCTGATTGAGAAGAAAACTACACGAAACTTGGTCGACACCGATAATTACATATTTTACTAATTGTTATTTAATCGTGAATTGTTCTTTTCGGTTACTCAATAGTTTTATTTTGCGGTAGGAATGACTATACTGCATGTCTGGCTGTTAGACTCGTAATTGATTTATTAAACAATTCCGGTCCCAAGTTATTATCGGGCAAGAGGCTTACATTATTATATCTCTAGTCTAAAAATGTGTTCTTAAAACAACGCCTGTTGGTTTACACACAATGGTTACACATCAACCTTACTTACCTTAACAGTATTTCCACCTTCGTAGTCTTTATGAAAAAATAAGTCGATAAAATCTAGAAAAATAATAAAATATATAAATTATATATATATATATATATATATATATATATATATATATATATATATATATATATATATATATATATATATATATATATATATATATATATATATATTAATATATATATAGCGGTTTTTGAGTTGTTTTCAGACGAGTGTACACCAAACCGGGCAAGCAGAAAATTCTACTTGACCGCGGCTGAGATTCGAACCCGCGACCTTCGCATTTCTAGAACGATGCTCTACCGTCTGAGCTACCACGTCAAGCTGAGAACGACTTGTTAAGTTATGATGTTAGTTGCATTTCGGAGGCTAGTCCTTCAATGCGTAAAGCCAGCTATTAGTCTGGCAATGTTGTATGTGAATGTTGTGGTTTCCCACGTTTACGATTCCACTCGTGCAACGTTATGTAGCGGTTTTTGAGTTGTTTTCAGACGAGTGTATACCAAACCGTGCAAGCAGAAAATTCTACTTGACCGTGGCTGAGATTCGAACCCGCGACCTTCGCATTTCTAGAACGTTGCTCTACCGTCTGAGCTACAGTACAAGGTCAAGCTGAGAACGACTTGTTAAGGTATGATGTTCGTTGCATTTCGGAGGTCAGTCCTTCAATGCGTAAAAGTATATATAAATATATATATATATATATATATATATATATATATATATATATATATATATATATATATATATATATATATAATTCAATTTATTTTGGTTGTCCAGATATGTAAAGTGCTCAATACTAAAAGTATAGCAGAGCTTATTAGATTGTCTATATCTTAAAATTAAATATCGCTACTCAGAGTAGCGATATTTAATTTTAAGATATAGACAATCTATATATATATATATATATATATATATATATATATATATATTTAAAGATCTGTAATCATACTATACATATATACTATTAACAATACTACAGAAAATATAAAATTCACGAAAGAAGAAGATGATAACAACCATCTTGCTTTCCTTGACATTTTGTTGACAGGAACTGATGACGACACGATTAACACACAGGTCTACCGTAAGAAAACGCACACTGACCAAATACTGAATTTTAACAGCAACCACCCTACTCAACACAAAATAAGCTGTATAAGAAGATTATTCAACCAAATAGATACGCACTCTCAGAATGCAGGAAATGCTATTTCATGCAGAGACCCAAATTTTAAAAATTTCCTGAGGGGGGCATGCCCCCAGACCCCCCTAGCAAACTCGTGCCTACGGGATCGGATCACACCTTCGGCCATTGCATACTATCCTGGGGAGGGCAAGGAGAAAATGGGCCCTTTGGCAATTTTGCCCCACCACTGAAGAATCCTTAAAAATGCACTGGATTCTTGGATAGTTCTTCTCTGACGGTATCGTTAAATTCTTCAGCAACATTTAGAACATTCAATGAGAATGCGTCTAAGGACTATTTAAGTCACGCAGTACACAATATTAAGTTAACGCTGATTCTAACTGTGAAAATAACTTTCCTACAGCATACAAACAATGAATTGATTATTTTTAACTTTGTTTAAGATTACCTTGGTGAGAGCCTTGTAAATAGTATCTGTCTCCATATAGCCAATGCAAATTTCTTTCAAAATCTAAATATTACCGAACACAAATTAAAACACATGCCTAAATCAAGCAGAGCGCGAATTGCAAAACGTTTTCAAGATATTCGTTCATGCATTAAGACTGTTTACTAATCTGTACTATTATCCATGTTTGCATAAGACTGCCTAGTGACACAGAAAATGTCCATCTGACTTCTGATTCTACATATACACAGGTTTAATTGCTTCCGCAGCTTATTGAAAAGCTACTATTAATGAAGAATCCATGCATATAGCATAACTTCGTAATGCGCGAAAATATCATACCATAATGGTTACTGTGGGCGCTTTCCGTTTGACGGAAATTCCGGAAATCTTTCTTGAAAATCAAATGAACACGTTAACTGATTTCTGGATTGCTGTTTCGAAAACTTCGGACAATCTCGCGAGGTTGTCCACAAATTGGAAATTCCGGAAGTTTCGAAATTTTTACATTCCATTGAAACATTTCCCAACTACGTTGCTGCTTTCCAGTCTTCGACGAGCAGAAACCGCCACCAAAACCAAAATGGTGGGTTCTCGACCATTTCAGTGCCTCGATTCTGGATTTATTTCCCAGAATTCTGAAAGGAGAGATTTGAGCGACAGTGTCAAATTCTTCAAAATTAAAGAAACAGCATTCCACAAATGAAAATGTTCCATTTGATTTTCAAGCAAGATTTTCAGAATTTCCGTCAAATGGAAAGTGCCCAACAAGCCTCCCATTATTTACAAGGTCTGTGACGCTGTAGCGTTCTATTTTGCTACCGTACACTCCGGAAACGCAAACTGGGTTTTTTGTTCAAATGGAAAGCGCCCACATTGCAATCACATAAAGCTAATTATCTCAAGAACTGAATGAAATATAAACAACGTAAATTCATGTTTCTCATTATTTTAATAACTCTTTTCAAATCGACCAATATAAGAAGTAACTTTGTGTCATGTGCACTTTGAATTAAAAACCAAAAGAGACAACAGATTAAAGAAAAATTTGACTGATTCAAGAGCATACCATAATCAGGTGCAGTATAAGGTCCAAAAGTGGATTCTTCAGTTTCATCTTTTTTTGTTCCCATTATCTAATATGATCTCTAACGGAGTATGTGACCTAGAAACTGGACAATTGCAATCTGCTTGAGTTGATCTTTTAAGATTGAGACCCTAACTACAGTATATAGACTATATTTACTAAGATTATATACCAAGATTCTATGATTTGAGCACGCGGGAAGTTGAGAGAGCACGAAGGAGCAAAAGCAAAGCACAGTCTCCTAACGCAAGCATAATACTAAAACATTTCTTATTGGTCGCCTGAAATCGGCTGATCGGGTAATCCTAGTTTACCACGACAATAAAATACGTACGCTGGAGGCTTGCAAAGCCTGACTGGGCTACCTTGATAATTTTTTTTACTGTGCAAGCAGGAAAATATACAAACTAGTTGAAACAACATCGTCTATAAAGTTCATTATTTACATAAAAAAGTAAAAGAAGCTGACAATCATGACATATGCAAACGCGGAATGTACAGCGTCCAAAATAATCAAAATTTTAGTGACATTTTGATAGTTTAAGGCTTTGCCTTTATTGGTAAAAAACGGAGCACACAGTTAAGGGTAACGTGAGAATCAAGGCAAATAATGAGGTTTTTATTGGGATTTAGTCAGTCTTACTCTCTTTTATAACAGAGGGTGAACAGTATTTGCGACCTTAGGATATTAAACGCTTGGTGACGGAAATCCTCTCGAATTATTATCGATCAAATAGCCATCAGGATTTTCAAAATCATTTACATAACATAAACTAAATAGTGTAGACAGGGCTGACTGTGGTTTATTATAGTGATTAACCAGCCTAGTCCCAGTCGTTCTGAAGCAAGCGCGAGAAAAACGCGGATGTGGTACGAAACTGGGACCAATAGGTGTGACGTCACACCTGAAGGTGCTTCAGAACGCCCAGCAGATTTCAGTATTTTCAATATGGCGGATAATTTGTATACAGCTATTTCAATAGCCTGCATGGCAGGCCCTCAATTTTATGGGGGCCTGATTTGCAAAATCCTACCCACTGCAAATCGGCCCCCATAATATTGAGGGCCTGGCACGTAAGCTACTATTTCAATTAAGGTTCTCCACGAGCAAAGCTGAAAAATCGAATATGAGCGCGAAAGGCTTATGGGAATCGCTTTGAAAATTCATTAATTTGTTAGCGATTCCCAGCAGCCTTTGGCGCTCGTATTCGATTTTTCGGCTTTGATCGTGGACAACCTTAATTGAAATAGCTGTATACAAATAACCGTATATTAAATAGAGCAATGTTCGTTGATCACATTCGATGTCTACATAACCAAACTTCAAACTGTATTAAAAATATGCTCAATTAAAAAAAAATATTATATACAAAATTATGACACTGAACATTGGTAAAATACTGAAATGATCAAAAAAGTTTTGTTGTATAATCCTTGATGTTATATTTTATATACTCGCAAGTTGTGATGTACAACGGACAGACGGATAAACAACCACGCTTTCTACTCGACACGTTTAAATAGTTGAGGAGATTGCAAATATTTGCATAACATGACTGTGCTGTCAAAACAGTTTTATTAATAAGGCATAATTATAAAGCTTGCATGTAGACAGCATTCAATGGATTTATATTCTAGTTAACACGAGTCATATTTACGGCACGTTATTCCATTCCCGTATTTTCAAACAAGAATACAGACGGACTTGATGTCGTGGCCAGATGAATGTTTTGCAATAATTGTGAATATTTACCCAAACAACCGTGACTATGAGTCTATGACTGAATTCAACACTTCAAAATCAGTGATGATCTTTGTATTAAACAGGCCTTAATTTTCGAATTCAGCCAAATTGTATATAGGATTCCTGTTGCATCTAAGGCAGAGTTAAGTATTTACTAATGTTAGAAATTTAGAATCTTTGATATATAAAGGACACGGCGACTATCGTCTATGGTCGTGGATTTTAATCAGCGCTGCAGTATTACTCAAAGTCAAGTCATGCAGTATTGCCTAAAGACATATATCTAGTAATCTAAGTGATCTACATATGCATAGTTCATTTGACCCATGCCGTACACCCCACTACCACTTAAAATACAAAGGATAAGGATTTGGCAACCGTACAACAATATAACAAGCCATAAACAGTGAAATTCAACACAACAGACACGTCGATTATAATTATGTCTACATATTTTGTTTTCCAATAGTACATATGCTGTTTATGTTACTCCCCATCGCTGTATTTCAAAAATGAACGTAAACTCACCAATGATTAATGTATTGTCATTTCGCACGAGCAATTCTCGAAGAATTTTAAGGTTTTTTACACAATAATTCGAAACAGTTGAAATACAGATCCATGGACATTCACATGTGATAACAGCAACAACAACCTCTGAACAACAACAAAGCGCAAGGAAGCCAATTTTCTACCGGTAACTTCCGGTAACGGAAATTAACCATTGTTCGGGCCCAGTGCTCCCAAAGATAGCGCAACAGGACTGTGCATGCGCCCCTGCTAATAAAATGCAAAATTCCCACTATTAGTTTTAAGGTCACTTTACACTGCACAATTTTTTCCTAAAATTACAGTTTCGTGGAATTCTCTATTTGGGTCCAGAACGAAATATAGTTGTATTTCATGTTGTGTATTATAATATATATTTTTGTGTATTTGATAAATTTTTCTAGATTGGTTCGTCAAGGGTAGAGTAATGGGTTTTTTTCAATATATTTGCAACATTAAAGTAAAATGATTCTTTGCTGTTCCTGTAAAGTTCTTTTGAGCTGTTTAATTAATTAGAAACGTGCTGGGGTCTTGAAAAGGACGACGATTGAGCAACGTCTAGTGGGGCCCAGATCCAGCGAGGGATGGATCAAGATTGGGATGGGGGTATTACTGATCAAACATGAAACATTTCAGTTGCTAATTAATCTTTTTTTCTCCCAAAATTGTTGGCGTTAAAAAATTTTTCGGACATACCATTTTTCAGTAACTTTCGAATTAAGATCCCTAATGATTTTACTAAGCGGAATAATAAAACTTCAATACAAAAAGCCCACTTGAGATTCTTTACACTTTTGTACCTGGGAGTGAAAAGTAAAGCCAGAAACATTGCCGGTAGAGGAGAATTTGGAAAATGTTCATTGATTGTTCCCAACTTACAAATTCCTAGACTCAACCATGGGCGTGCTGGCTAGGGTCGCGCTGGCTAGGGACGATCCGACGAGAACTTGTTGTGGGCCCCTGCCACCATGGGCCCCTGAAATTAAAACATTGGAAAAGGTAAAAATATAGATTTTAATTTTGATCAAGATATTGAAATTTATATTTAAAAATCTAAATTTACGAAAATATTACCGAAATATTATAATTTAATTTAATTTATTTACTTTGCCAGATTCAAACAATTAACGTTAACACAAAAACTGGCAGGGCAATCGCAACACCTTGCGCCAATTACTGCGATCCCTAAATGTTAGACAAATACACTATATACGTACAGTAGAAAAAATCAATTACTAACGAACTATCAGATTCAACTTTTCGCATTGCGACCCGCAGGACCACTTCTAAGGCCCCCTTTACACGAGCCCGGGTTGATTTTCAACCCGGGTCAGCACGCCACAGGTGGTTATTTTTTTATTCTGTTTACATGAACCCGGGTTGACGACAATTTTGCCAACCCGGGTCAGCAATTCTCAACCCGGGCTGACTCGAGTAATATTCCGAGCAACAGACTGGAGCAGAGTGTATTTTTGGCGCTTATATCCCTTAAAATCCCTTATAGACCTCATACGATATTATTACGATTATTATTACTACTTTTAGTTTTGGCGCTTATTATATCTTTCAGTATACAATTATATCCCTTTTTATCAAGGATTTAACCGTATAGCAACTTAATTCTGCCTTAAAGACGTTTTCTTCCCTTTTTTCCTC